TGGTCCCAGCTCCTTTGACTGGAGGCTGAATGTAGGCATTACATCCATTATCACTGCTGACATCGTTAAAGTTAGACTTCAAATGTAGATAATTATTGCTGTATAAGCTTAGTTTTCCTGTACATATCCGGAACGTCTGATGTTCTCTCAGCACAGAAGATCACGGGCACACAGCCCCCTGCGATCCATGACATCCTCACTACACGCTGTCTCAGGGAAAGTGAACTGTATCAGACGGGACCCCAGCCACCCTGCACTGTCACTTTCCACCCTCCTCCCATCTGGGAAGTGACTACAGTCCATTCGGACGCGCACCTCCAGGTTTAGGAACAGTTTCAACTGCAATCAGACTCATGAACAATCAGTAACCTTGTGTCACCCCCAATGCTAACTGCACATATACTTCTGCCACTGTCTCTGTCTCTGTTTATTCCCGGAATTCTGGTCTTATTTATTTATTTACTCATTGTCTTGTTGTCTAGATGTCTTGTTGTCTATGTTCACTGTCTGCAGGAGCACATGCAAGCAAGCATTTCATTGTACATGGTACTCGTACTTGTACACATGACAATAAAGATTTGAATTTAATTGAATTTGTGGATTAACGGTGATCTACGATTTTTTAATGCAGCCTCTGCAAGATCACAGTATGATGTGCATGATTGTATTCTGGGTTATTTATATGTTGGTCATGGTCAGTCTTCCAGGGTTTACTTTTATCTCTGAGAAGCATGGAAATGCCATTAACTGAGCAGGGAATGGGCTGTGCTGCCCTCTAGTGGTGAAGTCACAATACTCCATTAAAATGAACAGGAGAGGAGTTCTCGGACATTTGGAAACTTGGTGTTTATAACTCTCATCACTGCCTTCAGTGTCCTTCTCCTCCTCCATAGTCAGTTTCTCCAAGACAAATCATTTTCGGTTTTTCTATGTATTTTTTGCACTTAAGCCTGCTAAATGAGGGCGTTGGAGGAATGGAGACATTGGCTAGAAGGGGCTCTGCATCCCTTCCAAGTCCTCACCGATCACCGTAACCTGCAGTGCCTGAGAGAGGCCAAGCGTCTGAATGCCCGTCAGGCTCGCTGGGGTCTCTTTCTTACCCGTTTCGATTTTCAGGTCTCTTATCTCCCAGGCTCGAAGAATGTGAAGGCTGATGCACTTTCTCGCTGTTTCAGTTCCACACGGAATCCCGATCCAGTGTCCTGCGTTCTACCCTCTACCCTCCACCTCTGGTCGATTTTCATTTGGGAGTTCCTGGTTCAAAAGAGTCAGAGAACCCCTCGTTTCAACCTCTCTGCAAAACCCATATTTATTAAATAAGTCACATGTGGATTGTTTTTCAGGTTTCTCTTTGCCAGTAGCTGGAATGTGGAGGGGAAGCGTGAGTACATTATCTCAGGCGTTTCCACAGAAGCCATGAAGCTGATCATCGAGTACGCCTACGCGCGCTGTCACGGCTGACAACGTGGAGCGCCTCCTGGCGGCCGCTGATGAGTTTGCCGTCCCGAGCACCATGCAGCACTGCAGCGACTTCCTGCAGGACCAGCTCTGCGTTGAGAACTGCGTTGGCCTTTTCAAAATCGCCGACATCTACCGCCTCAATGATCTGTGCCAGTCTGCCTTCTGCTTTATCTTCAGAGGAGTTCCTAGAGCTCACTCAGCACCAGCTCAGTGATATTATCAAAATGGATGAGCTCAGCGTCAGACAGCAGGAGGTGGTGTTTCCGATGGATCGCGCATGAGCCTTCTAGCTACAAGGGTGACATGTCAGTGTTGCTGCCCAAGGTGACTAGAAGGATACACTCTTCTCACTGACATGTGGACATAAGGATAGAACGCTAACTCAGTGAACTCCCTAGTCCTTAATATTGTATCTAGAGACTAAACCTAAATTTCCTTGTTCCATAAGTCTACAACTTAGACTTCCAAGTATTACCTGTTTCTTTTGAGAAGTGTCTAAGGAAGCAACATCACATTTTGAGCCCAATTTTATATTTTCAAGAAACAGGTTAATATACTTCGGTTTAAATTTTGGTTGTTTTGGTATGGGTTTTTTTTCTAATTAGTTTACATATATATTTACATTTGCGTATGTCTGGTGTGATAATCATATAACATTTCACCTTTGAAATATGTGGGATTGATTTTCCTGTTAGACAGTCTGTACTTTTCTCACGCGGAGGCTGGGGAAAAGCCAAGAGAGTATTACTTAAAGTTAATTTCAGTTAATTGGTTAATTGTTGAATGACGAAGGGTCATTCTTTACTTACGTCGTTTATCTTGTTCGCTATTCGCTAAGTTCAATCACTTACGGAAAGCCATCACAGAACACATTACTTTAGAACAATGTATTGTTCAGTAACATTTGTAATGAGAAATCTAATGTAATATCTCAAAAAATATATAATTTTAGGCCACAAAAATTGACTTGGAAATGTCACTTGATGAAGTCGAATTACAAACAATGAAATGAACTGTTTCAAACAAACAGAAAAATATTGAATATATTAAAAATGGTAAAGAAAAAAATATAGGTAAATGACTCCGCAATACTTGGCAAAAATCAAACATTGCAGCGTAAAATGCATTTTTAATGCCTACATTAGCCTGTGAGGCTTGTAGCGTCTGCATAAGGTAAACACCGTAAATATAGTGAAGAACAGTAAACTGAAAATATACGTATAAAGTTTTTTTTTATTTAATTTTTATGATTTAAATAAAAAAGGGAGAAAACAGCCAATCTTAATGACATCCCATATTCATGATGCCGTTACTTGAAAAGCTACAGTAAAAATCCTCACAAATCAGTACTCTAGCGCACTGACCCATTCAGTCGTATCCAGTTCTTTCAGACACTCTAAACAATCTGAAATCAAGGAGGAGAGGCCTTGGAAATCAGGGAGAAAACAGCCTCTGTTTAATGACACCCCACAGTCCAGGAGCCGTCACTCAAAAACGCAACAGTGTCTCGTTGTCTCGTTTCACGATGTACTGTATCACTGTATATGGTGGAAATGACAATAAAAGTCACTTGACTTGAAATTTCTCATAAATCACTTCTGGCACTATCCTATTTAGTCTCATTCTCTGTTCTCAAATTCTTCAGACGTTTTGAAATTGATGTCGAGGAGATTGTGAAATTCTAAAGGTAGTATACCAAGTCCTCCTGATGTTTTATTTGAAATATTTCTCAACTTATGTTGCCGCAAATTTCATGATTAAAGTCTTCTACAGTAACATTTCTTATTAATCAGTGCTGACATTTTTATATTATGTGGCGATTAACAAGCAACAGTCTCCGAGCACTTAGTGGAGATTCGCGGTTCAAATCGAGTCACTAGCTCCCTCTACTGGCGGCTTAGCGTTGCGTCAGAATGATTTATGGTGGACCGGCGAATACGTAGTCAGCTTCAGCCTTGTAGTGGATATACACCTCAAACAGATTTCTGTACAGCCACGAATATTAACACATTAATACCCAGGCACAACCACGTGACTACTAAACCAATCTAGGTGTGACAATATAATTGAACATGATGACTAGATACTTTCTGAAAGGTGAAGAATCCCAGCCAGTGCATAATGTGACGTATTCACCCATTCGCGGCACGTCAATGAACTGTGCGCCTTGTCAAAGAAACTGCTTTTCGCTTATTACAGGAATTATGAGATAATTATTAACTCAATACAAACAGATACACATCACCACTGCTGGGCCCCGTGCAACACAGGAAAACAATGCCAAGCGCCAAGTTATCCCTAAAGCACAGTTAATCGTACCTGCCCGGTTTACGATGTTTACTGCCTTATCAGCACGCTGAAACCTTGAGTCATTTTGCAACATTTCATGTTAAGAATTAGGTCAAAGTTGTATAAGACGTTTCTACATGGATGGACGGATGGATGGATGGACGAACGATACGTTGCAGGTAGCGATGAACTTCAAACATATAAATGGAATTTCGGCATTTCAATGGAGTCATAATCACAAACCCATCGACACGGATGAAATTATTGTTACTGATTTAGGAGTTACAAATATTGAATTTGCCTGCACATATATACAAACAACAATGTTTCATCTATAACATATGCAGGCATTCGAAAATAAAATCCACATTGCCAAAAACCAGTTTGTGGAACTTTTATTGATATATTTAATTAAGGACGTGAAAGATCCAAGTACCAACTACGCATCTACAATGCAGATTTCTTTAAACTAATATTTAAAACTAATATTTCAACGTCATAATAGGCGTATATTATACGCATAATGTAACATCTTCATATAATCAGCAAAGTGCTTTTTTCCCCTAAGGTTGAGGTATCACAATATCTGCCTACAAGACTTGGTTTAAGGATTTGTTAAGTGTGAACATTGTTCCAAACAGCGTAATCACAAACGTGCGTACATTTCAGATTTATAAATAATAAACTAACAAATAAGCAAATGCTTCATGAAGAGTTCCATGTCTGTGGAAATTAGTCAACAAATAAAAGTTTCAAAATCATTTTGTTTGGTGGCTTTATATATTCGAGTGAATTTGGGCTGGAGTTAATATATATACAAGGCATATATTACCTTGCAATGGAAGGTAATGCTGGGTAAATATACATTCGCGTGCGTGTATATTACGAGCATTACCCTTTGTATTCCCGTACCCACCAAAAAGGCAAATAAAGACACGTAAATTACGTTGGTTCAGCAGCCTGAAAATTATAATCAAGCCAGCAGCTAACGGTCATTATGTCTTTTCAACATATGGTTCTGCTTTTTATTTTTTAATCTTTAAAGCATTGAACGATTGTTCCCTGGCCTGGTTAAACGACAAATTATGGTACAATTTTGTTCATGTTCCTCAATCTGGTCACATTGATGCCGGTAATGATGGTTTCTGTCATAGATCTATAAAACTAACGAAACTTTTTCGAATGGTGGCATGCGTGAGATTATTCATTATACTTATCACTTCTCATAATCTTTAGTTAACACAATATCATAATCTCTATAGTCCAAAAAAATAAATTTCATTCCGTCTTCAGGCTAAATGAACGTGCGAAATTGAGTTTTGAATATGCCATTTATTTCACATTAAAATGCATTCGATGTATTTAAATGAAAACAAACCCCCAAAATTGTGCAGATGATGGAAAAACGGCACAAATGAATAGCTAAAAATGTTGAAAACATAGATCTTCTTTTGACCATTAAATGTATACATGTTAGTTTCTTCATTTTTAAATGATACTACGTTGCTGGACTGTGACTAATCCGCCGGTACAGGTCAACTTTAGGCAGCACGTGCCGTCTTCCGCTTTATGGTTTTAGTCGTTTCTTTTTTTCATCCAAAGCAGCCCCAGTAGCAGCGATGACAGCCTTTGAAATGCAGGCCCCTTTTTTTCAATGTAAATTTAAGAGGGACGCGGAGGGAGATAAAGGCTATAAAATTCGACGTCATAGTGGCTCCGTTTAATTGGCAGTGAGTCCGTCAAACAAGAGTGCAGGTAAGGCATCCAGGAAGGACTGGTACGGTTAAAGAAAAACCAGAAGGAACGAGGCAGGATTTTCTTTTCGGAGTCACATTATGATCAAGAGATCCCAGTCGGAAAGATGTACGTGAGCTACCTTTTGGAGAAGGATACCGGCATGTACCCCAACACCGTGAGACACCCTAGCCTCAATCTGAACCCTCAAAACTTTGTTCCACCGCCTCCTCAATACTCGGATTTCACCGGATACCATCATGTCCCCGGGATTAACAATGACCCCCACCACAGCCAAAGCGCAGCTTGGAATCCTGCCTATGTCCCTCGGGAAGAATGGGTTCCTTACGGACCAGCAGCGGGTGCCTCCACTTCCAACGCCGGGCAGATACCTTTCAGCCCCCCGGAGTTCCCTCCCGTACAGCCGCCGGGGCTTCTCCCGCCGGCCATCAATCCGACTGTCGGTCAGCTCTCTCCAAATTCCCAGCGAAGGAACACTTACGACTGGATGAGGCGCAGCGTACCGCCATCAAACTCAGGTAACGCCGATTTCGTCCGTCAATCATCTCACCAAGAATGGAAAAGTGAAAATCCATCTGACAGCTACATTAGGGTGGATGGGTAGGATATTTCGTTGGTATAAAATAAAGAAAACGTTTAAAGGTTTAAAGTGAACAAATATACATTTAGGTTAAATAAGGGGAACAGGTTACCAGAATTATTCGGCTATGGGCTACAGGTGAATTCGTGATAAATGTTTAGTTTCCTGTATTATTTGTCGCATTTTAGCACTCACTGTCTTTTATGTAGCAGAGAAACGTGTTAGCATGTCTACTTGTAATTTGGAATAAAATGGTGCAACTGTCATGGCGACACTGAATCATGATAAGCGGCTATGGATGGATGGATGGATGAATCAAGCTATTAATGTTATTCTTGTGTTAGGAAGTATTCACGTTGTCAACGAAAATATTTCAAAATTTCATACATATTTTGTAAAGAAATGCATTCGGGCCCGAGGAATTATTGTAAGGAAATGTAGGCCCGTTGTGTAGTTTTTACATTAAGTCATTTGTTACCTTATGAGAGGCAAGAGCCTCTTGCGGCAGTTAGTGCATCATCCGGACCTGGTAGTCGGTAAAATTTTAATCTTGCGTTATTTAATAGAAATCTTGGGTTTAAATACTTGAAACGTTCCACTTTCCGTCTTTAATGGACCATGCGATTAACTGTAAGAGCTCGTCAATTTTATGGGCACTATATCGAGCCTGTAATGGATTTACAAGGTGAGGGCGTCCAATCTTTTAACAACTTTTTACTTCGGGTAGTTATTCCCAATTATCGGATTATCCCGGGAGCTCCTGGTCCGGTAATCGTTTTACCAAAGGTTATGATGATTACAGAATTATTATTAGAACAGATATTTTAAAAATCAGGCTTTATATATTTCATTTCCACTGTTGGATGGTGATGCCACTTATATACATGGTTATAAAGCTTTTGCATTATTTAGTAGTAAGCTACCGTTCGTATAGTAGGTAGGGAAATTCTAATTGTTCTATTATAGCATTAATAAAACAAAATAATTTCACTCGCTGCTTATAGAATCGTGAAAATGGGACACATGGCAAAATGGGACAGTTAAACTTTGCATTCAATATATTTGTTTAGCAATACTTTTATTTTCGCTTCTACAGAGTGCTCAAGAGGCATTAATGCATTTAGAACGATATCAAGTTGGGATTCAGAATACTGAAATGATTTTTTTCCAGAAAGCAAATTTTCGGAAAGTGTCCCATTTTAACAATACTCACCCGGGATTGTTCGTAATTTAAAAGTAGCCAGGACTAAGGAGTAGGAACGCGTCTGGGCGAAGAACCGCTTTTATTCCGGTAACTGGAAATGAGCGCCTTGTTTCTGAAACAAGCGCAAAGTAGCCTTAGTCTCAAGAGTCTGTCAAGCAAATGAGCCCCGATTTACTTTGATGTATGTCGGGTTACACCGAGTGCTCGCATCATGCTAATTGTTTTGTTGTCCTTCTTGGTTTTTCACATTGTTAGGGAGGAGATCGGCTGTATATCTATTGCTCTGAAGCTTTTCTCAATTTCTTAAAATGAGTCGAGCATTTAAAAAAACTTGAAATAAAAAATATTTTTAACTTTTTAACGCTAGATTCGCATTGGGATAATCACAATAATTAGGCGTACACCTATAGAACATTAAGTAAAATTAGAATCAGAAAAAGGGAGGGAAATATATTGTAAAACATTGAAGCATAAAGCAAATCATAAAACTATCAAAATGTTTTATATTGTGACTGTTTGAATTAATTATTCAAATTATTATTAATATAAGTACATTTGTAATTGTAATCACGTGTTGCAATTGTCCATAATATAGGTCTATAATAAAAATGCCGACAATAACAATAATAGTAATTATTATTATTAATAATAATTAATTAATGATTATTATTATTATAAAATAAGCCCTAATACGATTAAACTCTTTTCAATGATATAATTTAAAAACGAAAGTATAAAATGCGCGAACATAAACAAAAGTTTGACGCTGTATATCTGTAGATATTTTGTATCCAAATAAACAAAAAGCAAAAACGGGGGAAAAAGCTATTTGGACTGAAGAAGACCAGCAAAAAAGCAATTGAAAAATATAGTAATATTTTTTCCAGCTTACTGATTTTACATAGTGGCGTACAGCATTAAATAGTTCATATAAAATTATTAAATGCATTTTTTAATTTGTTGTTGAGTTTCTCTTTTTTTAGCACAAAAATGAAAAAAAAATCTACATATGATTTTCTTCATAAAACACTTTGAACCAAATGTTTGAACCATTCATCGGTTTGATGTAGAAAGTTTTTTGTTATAGGAAAATAAAATTTCATCATTTGAAATAAACTCTTAAATTAAAATGAAAGCGAGGGTACTGAGGGCCGTAGTGGTACAGTCCATCGTCTGTTGAGTAGCTCTCTAAAAGTATGCAGCTTTTGCAGAAATAATTATGTAGAACTGACCACGGGAACTTCACAAGACTGAGAAATAACAATATTTATATTTTCCCGCGACTAAAGTTGTTACAGATGTTTCTTACCCATCACTTTTTATATACAAATAAATCAACGAATTTGGACTTTTGGACTCAAAACGTATGAGACACACACATTCTGTCTTTTATAATTAAAGACAGCTGTGCACTAATTTTCGGAGCGAGCAGAGTTATACATACAGGTTTGAACGTTAATAGCTGGTAATGGTGTTCAAACGCAGAAGGGATGTGAAGACTTGGGCGTATCATAAATTTCCTAATTGCTGTCTTTTGTAAGTGGCTTCTTCCATTTACAACCCATTTTAACCCAAATTTGCTTCCCCAGTGTGCACGGTTATCTCGTTGTCCGAGACGGGGAATTTTACGGTCCGCGTTACAAATTAACCCCCAGACAAGGGCTTCGCCGCGTGCACCCTCCCGTCCCATCCCCTACCCATTTTTTCCCCCCCCATGAACTTCCCATTAGCTGCAACTGCAAAAACATTCATCCGAGATTGACATGACATCATAGACATCGTGTAGTAATAACTCTGCTGTTATCGGCAGTGTCGGGATAATTAAATAAATACACGCCAGCGCCAAGAAAATATGCAATTTCTTACGCCGTACGAGTAAATGACGGTGTCGTGCATAATACTGTATGCATGTGCTAAATGGCAAACAGCAATAATGTAAAGCTCCCATGGCACAAGTATTAAATGCTAGGCCCACACAACAATAAGAACGACACTTTATTGACGTGGGGAAGTTCTCCGCTCGCCTACTCCCTCCTGCTCTCCCTGACACACAGACATAGAGGTGAGAGTACGCTGTCAGGAAAGGGCAGCCACCCGCAGCGGCGCCCATAGAGCTGGGGGGTTAAGGGCCTTGCTCAAGGGCCCATGAACATGCGAATATTCTGCTGAAGCCGGGACTCGAACCGACGACCTTCCGATCACAGACACAAAAGCTAAACTCGCTGATGCTACATCATGGGATAACTGCCTTAACTGCAGTCTCCCCGTACAAGTACCGTTTCTACACATTGCAAAATAGGAACGGAAAACCACGTTACTGCGTGAACAGTCTTGTGATTATGAGAGTTACGCGGTTTTCTAATGTCAATTTAGACTGGATTTCCACCCTCGCCAGTTCAGACTTGCCCCTCCAGTCGCTTTCTCTGACATTTATTTTAATTTTTAACTCGGTTACTTCCAGCGCACTCATGCACGGAAATCAGAATAAACTGACTTTGATATACAACCCAATTAAAAGGTAAAACAAACATTTTAAGCGTACGTCTGCGCCGGGGTTTTAATTCGGTAAATGAACCGTTCAAGGACCGTCCTTGTCATTTTAAATGTTTGCTTTTGTTGAGTAGAAAATTAAGTATTCAAGAGCATACGGGCCATTAATTTAAAAATCAATATGGTTAAATCTAGCTAAAATGCTGTACTGCTTCGTGCCCTACCCTATTATTTAACAAAAAAAACATGTTAATCTCTGGATTCAATTCAATTCAATTTATTTTTTAAATGGACAATATCATGTGATTTGTTTCAGCAGGAAAGACTCGCACAAAAGACAAGTACCGGGTGGTGTATACGGACCACCAGCGGCTGGAACTGGAGAAGGAGTTTCATTACAGCCGATATATCACAATCAGGCGGAAAGCAGAACTGGCCACAGCCCTCAGCCTCTCGGAGAGACAGGTGAGCGCAGCCGATCATGTGACCCAGGAGCTGGTCCAGTAACGTTACTGCCCCTCGCCGCCACCACCACGTGCACGTGCGAGTCATCGCATCGCAGCGCACAGTTTTTCGATCTCCCCTGACACGTAATTCTGCGCCAACCGTCACCACAACCTTCCGCACTCCCTGACTTTACAAAATACCTTCGGTGCAGGTGAAAATCTGGTTCCAGAACAGGCGTGCCAAGGAGAGGAAGGTGAACAAAAAGAAAATACAACAGCCGCAGCAGGCCTCCACGACTACACCCACTCCCCCCGGCATCGGGACCCCCGGTAACGTCGCCATGGTGACCAGCAGCAGTAGCGGTCTGGTGTCGCCTTCCATGACAATGGCTATTAAAGAAGAGTACTGAAGTCGGCCCAAATTGCAAAAAGAAAATAGACTGTTCGCGGCAGAAAAGATTAAATAAAATAAAGATGTTAAAATATACAGCTCTGGGGAAAAAATTGATTTTTTCTTAAAAAAATTTAAATTCTTAAATTTTTTTTAAGTCTGCTTTGTTTAATCTTCGTTTAATCCTGGTCCTGCTGGCAGTGGCTACACTGAGCAGCAGGCTGCTTCCAGGCTCAGAGTTTCACTGGGAACGACCAGAAACCAGCCAGGTAGAGGGCAGAAGCAACTTTCTAATGCCAAAGACGACCGTCAACTTATCTGACAGTGCCTCATAAATCAGAGGATGACATCAAGTGACCTTCAGAAGGAACGGGAGACATTAAGTGCAGGTGTGAAGTGCACTGCTAGGACAGTTCATATCAGGCTCCTAGAAGCAGGACTGAAGTCCCATAAAACAAGGAAGAAGCCCTTCATTAATGAGAAGCAGGGAAGAACCAGGCTGGAGTTTGCAAAGGCGCATAACCATAAATTGAGAAATCAGTGAAACTAAAAATGTTGCTGTGGTCTCTTAATTTCTTCCAGAGCTGTACTTACGGGATATAAATATTATATATAATTATGATTTTTTTAATCATCTGCTATTTCCTCTATAAATGCTGTCCTGCTATTTTCAAGCATTTGATGGACACTAAAAAATATTTGTAAATTTTTATAATTCGGTTGTTCAGTTTGCGATGTATGTTTAAAGTTGTTTGTATGAAAGGTTTTATCTTTGTGTTGCATAGTAATTCTATTTCAGTAAAATGAGATTTTACTTGAAAATGTGAAGAGCATGAAGACAGATGTTAATTATATGGAGGGGAATGAAGCTCGGACCTACAGCTCATGTTTTCCTCTGATTCCGCATGAAATTTTACTTTGCTGTTTTTGCATGCCAAGCATTTATTACACTGTGTATAATAGGAGTCTTGCATTACTTTACTGAGGAATTTTGTATGGAATCAACAGGCCTGTTATTATTATTATTATTATTATTATTATTATTATTAAGCTGTGAAGTATTTCAAAAACATAAATAAAGTTTAATATTTTTAAACAGAAATGTTTCCAGGTACCAAATTTGTTTTTTTTTTTGGGTACATAGCACACTGATATTAAAATGTAACAATATTTCAGTTTTGTGGACGGCAGAATGTTTTTTTATGCCGGAATTTTCCAGAATGGTGCGGAAGTGGGCTGACGTGTCCAGGTCATGCTGAACCAGCGGTGTCTGTTTCGGGGGGGGGGGGGGGGGAATGCACGGCGGAAGTAGCCGTGTCACTGGAGTTGTGGTTTTTGTAGCAAAATGGAACAGAATCGGGAGAGCACAGCTATTTAATGCCCCGTATCAGGAGGACGTTTCTCAGATACCCGCTATCGTCTGTATTTTCTGTGCGGACATATTTGTCGATGTTACACTCGCTGGGAGCGGCGACCAAAGAGCACGGTGAGCACCTGAGCAAACACGGGCTGATGGATCCGCCGACCCAAGCATCCAGGTCCCCACCAGGGGGCGTTAGAGTGGGCCCCACCCAGGGCCAGTCTACACCCTCCTCTGGACCTGGCCTGTGTCCATCACCCTACAATGAGGTGTTGATAGAACCACAGCCTGGCTTTTCTGAGCTGCTCCTCCCAACCTGCCTGCAGTAATTAGGGCAATCAGTGTTACACCCCCACCCCCACGCCCCACCAATAAAAACAGGTGTTGAAACTGGTTCAAGGGTGGAAGACCATGTAAATCATGCTAGCCATTCGTCCTCCTTGCACGTCACAAGGGGCTTCTGTTCTGACACTATAAATAAATCATGGGGGGGTGACTTCCTGTATTTGTCCAAGGGGCTGTGCTCCCATAAAGGTCAAACCCTATAATCGCCCCCCGGCTGTTTTATATACCTCGTAGGCCTACTATATACCGTTACGCGTATCTTTTTACTTTGCTCAAGGCTTCAATAGTGAATTTCTGCTGGGACTCCTTCGGTCTGTGAGCAGCGTGTTGATATACTGTGCTCTTGCCCTGCTCCGCGTTTCTGCGTTACCCGTAAATTTGAAGATGACCTTGAACTTTAAGCTAGCTTTGTGTCCGTGATATCAGCCGTCGTCAAACACGGAACTGCATCTGTGATTGATAAGCGTCACCCGCAGCCTATACGGGAAGTATTAAAAGCAATATCTGAAAATGCACAATTCACACGGACGCAAAGAAAATACCGTGCCGGTTTAATTAACGTTCAATTTACATAATCTTACATCTTATTTAATGTCAGATTACCTTTATCTATTACCATCATAGTACCTTCCTTATAAGTCAAAACAACTCGAGCAGGAGTTTATATGTCATGTTACTGTATTGCATTGAAACAAGGCGGGCTTTTACAGCATTACAAAGATTACAGCGCTTGTAAACACCAAAACCTCTATAATAAAAACCACATTACTTATTCTAACTGCAGGCTACATCCGTTGTGCAAAAGTATGAGGTGGTGCCCATTGGGTCTGTGTGGATTTCAGTATTTAGACACACTTGAAACAGTGTCAGTAACTCTAAAAAATTATTTCATATATTTGTTTGTATATCTCAGAGAAATGCGGGTATAGTCCAAATTAAGTTTTATTGTGCAACATTTTTAAATGAGGCAAATAATTGGTGCAAATAAAACAGAACCGAAGATAATCACACAACTTTCGCCAGTCCAATAAAGCTATTTATTTGACAAATTACCACGTGTTTATGGGGCAGTTCTACCATAAACTTTTGTATTTACAGTATACTTAGTGCCCCCTAATACCCTCTATATTGGTTACATTTATTCTTAAATAAACAGAGGAGCAGTAAAGCAATAGTAATCAAAACGGTGTGCGAGCAGTAACTGTCCGTAAACGGTAGCCACGCTTAAGTAACAGCATACTTACAGTACTTGATCTGACTGCAGTATAGTACTCAGGATTTATCTGAATGCATACCATCGCTCTCTGCTCATTTGCATAAGTCTTATGAAATCATAATCTACGGATTGTTTATTGTTACTTCGTATTATTATTATTATTATTATTATTATTATTAAGCAGTCAAGTATACAGAAATAATATTCTATGTTTTAAACAGATATGTTCGAATAAACATATAATCGAATAAATAATCTTCATGTTTAGTGTAGTTATGCGCAACATTATATGTTTCACGTCAATACAAATGGATATAGGATTTATACAGTAAAATGATTTCCTAAATTACGACAATAACTGTATGCTATCAAAATAAAAGCGTCCTAAGGATTGGTGTTTTGCTAATAATGTTATTAATATTCAGTAGTTAAGGTGTTCTCATGGTTCTTAAGCTTAAGGATGTCTGAAAGTGCTGTGCTCCGCCTGACTGACAGGGGTCACTAATGCGCTCCGGCCCTGCCTTGCCCTGTTCATGGCCCCGGTTTGTACCATCAAGGAAAACGTATTGGAAGAAAAACACTCCGAAGAATAATCATCTTGATTAACCTTTGCTTTGCTTGTACATATATATAGACTCTTCCGATTCTGTAAAAGGAAATTCAATGCTAGCACGGTTGCTGATCGCTGATATGTTAATGTTTAACCAATGAAAATATTGTCCAGTTACCCTACCTAACTACCTGCTGTATTTTGGAATAAGAGAGACTTTAACACATATTACTCGAAGTGCAGTACCTCACTTTTTTTGTGTGAGATACTAAGTGTTATTAAGTGTTAATATCCAAACCAGCATAATAATATCTTTTCGGATGCTCTCACTAATATCGTCGTGTTAGGCACGTGATCTGTCTCTGTTTTGCTTTGCAAATCTTCACAGCACGTAGGCTGCTTTAGCCAGTATCGGAGTAGTTAAGAAATTAACTTTCAACTGATAATTACCAGAGCCGATTAATGGGATACTGTGAACCAAAATATCAAACCAGCAGTTAATTTCTGATATTAGTTTTACTAATCTTACTATCATTCAGTTAATAATCCTTCAATCTATTTTTTTCCCTATTGGGCTATTAAATCTTTTGAAGATATATGTTTGTCATCTATACATCTATATATACATCTGCCGATAATACCATATAGGCCTAACTGATTATACTAAAATATATACACTGTATAATAATAATAATAATAATATACCAGTATGTTACTTATATAACACATTTACATTAGAAATCACATGTAAATTGCTCGTATGGGCCTATTTAAACATTTTGCTGAAATTCAGCAAAATTTGGTTAGTAGGCCTATATAAATAACCACACAGAAGATTCTGGATATATGTTTAATACTTACAAAATGTAAAAAGATAGATAATTTAGAAGATGACAATTATCTTAATTAGAGGGTGATGTCCAGAATTCCCTTCAAAATCTGACTAGGTTACTTCCGCACCTATAAATAATATTTAATCTGGGTAAATACATCTCCTGACTTCAGTTAAATTTGATTCATAACATTTCCGAGGAGATTCATTTATCTGATGCCTAAACATACACAGCAATGAAAATAGTCAATGAACTAATTATTTATTTATTATGCAACTTAATTGTGTTAAAACACGACTGTAATCGATTAATTAGCTTCAATTTGTTATTAAGGTTGTCCACTAAGTAGACTTTCATTATTATAACAGTCGTTTGCTAAAATTGTTTATTAAATAGGCCTATATAAATCGGTTTTTACCAGATTTCAAGACACATCATTTATTTAACAGCTAATTTCTTATTTTTAACTTATGTTTTGCATAAATCATTTGCAGGGATATACCAAAATATTACGCTTGTGTATTTAACTATGTATGTGTATTTGTATGTGGACCAATGTTAGTTCAATCCGATCATCTCAATTTCTAGCTATGGTCCTGAGTATTAGCCGGGTGCAGAGACGAAAGTGTCGCGAATATTGAAAACCTACTATTCGTTTCGGCAATTCATGGTATTCATTTACGTCACGTTTTTTCTCTGCATCGATCGCAACGACGCATTTCGTTATCAAAATAATTTAATCAATTACACGTTTCAAGCGATATGGGAACTTTAGATTTTAATTTTACTTAAGGCTATTTACATCTAATGTTAATGA